CTGCAAGTAGAAAAAGATTTATTTTTGTTTGCAAATAAAATAAGTACATGCTTCACTTTGAGCATATTTCTTCAAAGGATCTCTTTCTGCTGTGAAGTAAACTATTTTGACAGTAGCATCTTGTATGAATACCTCATTTTGTCAGCAGGATCAAAGCAGACTTTGTGTTTTCTTCTGCCTGCTGTTAAAGCTTAGAATGTGTTTCTGACCAAGGCAGTTGTTTGTGATTTCCAGAATCTGGTTCATACTCTGGCGGTAGCTTTGCTGTGCCTTTCCAGAGTTTACTGGAGGGTCTGTGCCAAGCCATTTTTTATGTGATTGGGAAAGAAAGGAATTGCATAAGGTCCTTTCCTGGTTCTTGACTGGAGTGGTGGGCTTGTGGGCTTTGGCAAATGTCACACCTAGCATCTTAACACACACACCTATATCACACAGACACACAACACAAAATCAACACATACACCACACACAGATACACACCATGTACACACATCACACACAGACATCATACATGCTACACATACACACACCACATATACATACATACCACACCACACACTGAGATACACACATTACACACACAGACATATACATGGACATATCACACACACACACACACACACCACATTCACATACTCAGTTCCCTAGTACATATGTAAAAATGGCATCTTGCCAGGTATCAAGAAATAAATGAACCTGATTGACTCCATCTCTAAGGTATAATCACAAAAAAGTTGAATATTTCATTAATATATTAGTGTTAATGAACCTAAGCAGAAAAGAGCAAAAGATGAATTATTTGAAGAGCGGGATATTGAAGTAAGTTGCACTCCCTAGTTGCATAGGTGCCAGAAAGACTTTCACAGTGAAATGAATAAAATGACAAAACGGCCAAAAGGAAGATGAAGTTGGCAAGAGAGAGAGGAGAGAGGTTCAGGCTATTTTAGCATCTTTTAATAACTGACTTAAATTTGATAACTAATTACCACAAACTCATCCACATAGCTCAGAAATGTCCCTTTTAAGACCTAGTGTTGCTCATTTGACCTTCTTAAAGCACAAGCTCAGACCTCATAAGCAGGTGAGGAAGCAGGAAACCCTTAGGCAGGCAAATATTCTCGATTAGGAAGCCTTCATTTGTTAGGGCAAATACACTTTCCCAATTATGAAAATAAATGTGAAAAAGACAGAGTGTTAATTTTTAATAAGTATGAGGTCACGACATGTTTTATTTTCATCTGAGAAAGGCTATAGGGTTCTTTAGATCTATAACTCCTACTCATTTTTTTAGTCTAATAGCTTAGTACAAAAATATGATAAAGAAACTTGCCTGAAAAAATACCAATTCACCACTTTAATATTTCATAACAGTGCAATTGGTTTCATTTTCTCTCTATAGAGAGAGCTTACGCTATTGTATAGAAAATGATTTTTAAGGGTTCCAAACCAAAATGAGACTCACAACATTTAAGAACTAAAAAAACTCCAGGTAATTACATCATTATCCTCAAATATCAAAATAAATATGGTTTTATTTTTTCTTAAGTTCTGAATAAACACTCTAGTTTTTAAGCCACATTAAATTTGGTAATAGTACTATTTGGCTCTTACTTGGTATCTTCAAAAAATATACCTTTGTTCACTATCTACCTTTACCTTGATTTTAGAAAATTTTTAGGAAAAGACAAACTAGAAGATTAGTTTGCTTTGATCTTGGAATCTCCCTTGACACAGAAAAAATTATTTGAGAACAAACGTAAACTGAAAACATACAAACATTTATATAAAAATTTCATCTATCATCAACTCATATGATATACCAGAAACCCTTGTATAAATAATATTTCATTGATATTTTTAGAGTAATCATTTTTAAGGTAGACCTTATTTACTTTTGTAACAGTTGAAACTTCTGAAGTTAGTAGAATAAGTATGTTTTTCAAGGAGGCAAGGGGAATATAAGTTTTAGGGATGATTTCCCACATTGGCTTTTCTGAACCATAACATACATTAATATTGAGGCTTACAATAATGAATGTATTTGCTTCTTTGTATGTGACAAGGTAAGTGCCCATGCATGTGTAGCTGCTGTGTTTATCTGTATATATGCTGTGTTTATCTGTAGATATGGCCTCTCCAAGAAAGCAGAGCAGCTTTTTAACCACAGACACAGCAGTGACCTAGAGTTTTACACTTCACCCTTAAGAGGGTCCCTGGAGAACTAGACTCAATGAATGTTCCAAGGCCAGATACAGTCATAAAATTCCCAATTTCAGACACTGCCAGTGCTATCTTACCCTGGCTTTGTGGAAAAACAAAAAAAGCAAAGTGATTCTCCTATCATCAAAGTAATTGCATTTTATTATAAAAGCACAATGTGAAACATTTTTTCTCTAATACGATTCAACAGTACAACTGAAAGCAAAAAAAAAAATTAAATTTTTTTTTCAGGTGCATTTTCTGTAACTTTTTTTTCATCATTTCAAATAATATAAAACTCCAACTACTAGAATTACTTTGACAATGCATATTAGCAACTTAAAATTGAAATCAATGGCATTGTAAATTATTTTTTAGCCTGGAATCTTTTTTTAAAAAAATCCAGACATATTGTGAAATGAACAAGAAGTGAAAAAAAAAAAAAACACAAGGGAGAGGGGGCGGAGCAACATGGCGGCGAGGAGACGCTGCGAGTAAGATCTCCCATTAAAAAAAGTGAATAGGGAGAAAAAGCGGCAGGTCCCAGTGAGAACTGGGACACGGAAGATAAACGGGTGACGCCAGCGAACTGCCGAAGAAGAAAGTGGCCATAAAAGAGGACTAGAAGGAGGAAGCACAGAACCCTCCCCTCCCCCGCCCACAGAGGCGGCACTCTCCGACCAGCAGAGAGGGAAACAACAAACCAAACGGCCCACAAGAACAAACGACGCAGCAAGCGGACTGTGAGTGGAAAGGAACTATTGCAGCCACCACACCCCGTGAACGGGAGCTGAGGCGAACCCTGCAGGATCCGGCGGTGAGCGAACGGCTCCGGGCGCCATTAGAGAAGAACAAAGACCCCAGGAGACGCGCACACAGCCCGGGCTGCCGGTAAGCCTGCGCGGGAAAGCGGCGCATTCGGCGTGCACTTGAAAAGCAAGTGCAGACCTGGATCGCGGCTGCCCAGGTCCCCGCGCCTGCGACCTAGGCTTGCGGGGAGACGACCTAGGCTTGCGGGGAGACGCGCGGAGGTCCTCACTGAGGTGAAGGTCCCTCCCTGAGTGAGCAGGAACCAGGCGCCCAGGCACAGGAGCTGTGCAAAAGGCGCCATTCCCGTGCCACTGAACTGGGCTACAGCCCGCGTCCTGGACCTGAGGGCTTTGAACTGAGACCCGGGGCACGAAAATTCGGGGCGTGGTTTCTCCACGACGGTGGGGCACAAGGCAGACACAGCACCCCAAAGCTGTTGAGGTGTACCCTACCATTCCCGCTCTGTTCTCTGTCCCACGGGGTGGGGGAGGCGAAAACAGCCCCCCAAGGACAATAGGAGAGATCTCTGGCGCCACCTAGCAACCAGGGAAAAAAAAAAGTCACTAACACCCTATAAAACAGGACATTTCTTAAGACTGCTTGAAAAGGGCAGAAGGTTTCTGGAGGACCCAGTGGCCAGCCGGGAAGTTATTCCACGCCAGGCCCCTTCCGACCAGCAGCCTGAGCTCACAGAGGGAGCAGGCACCCACGTCCGGGGCAGACCGGGTGCGCAGAAGAGTGTGCCTGAAACCGGAGGCGCAGGGACTGCATCCCGCTTCGCCATTTGAGAACAGGGACATTTCTTAAGTAAAACTGCCTAAAACCAGCAGAAAGCTCCCCCAGAAGACAGAGATGGCTCCTGAAGAGCCAGAGGGGAGCGGAGAAGTTCACCCAAGATGTCAGTCAGTCCGAGCAACACAGTGTCCCAACGCATATGACAAATTAGAAAACAGACAGTAGGAGTAGAAGAACCACACGCAACCTAAAAACTCCTCAGGAAAGAAGCACACCACAAAAAGAACCACTCCCCAGATTGCAACGACAGCAACTTGGAAGAACTTCTGAGCCTTCCAGAAAGAGAATTTAAAATTGCCATGATTAAAAAAGTGATAGATCAGAAGAAGGAAATTGAGTCCCTAAAGAGGGAAGTAAGAGAAATGCAGGAGATCAAAGAATTAATGGAGGAACTAAAGAACTCTGGGAAAAGCAATGAAAGCAGAATAGATGAAATGGAAGAACGAATAAGTAATCTTGAAGACACAGAAATAAAAAGAACCAAAACAGAAAAGGAAAGAGAAGTACGAAGGAAAAAGAATGAAGAAAGACTTCGGGAACTATCTGACTCCATGAGGAAAGGAAATATAAGAGTTATAGGAATTCCAGAAGGAGAGGAGAGAGATGTAGGAACAGAGAAAATATTCATGGATATAATTGAAGAGAACTTTCCAAATGAGAAGAAGGAGCTGAAAATTGATATACAAGAAGCAAGAAGAACACCAAACTTCCACGACGAAAGGAAAAACACAGCAAGACACATAATAGTAAAGCTCCCAAGAATCCAGGACAAGGAAAAAATAATGAAGCTGACAAGAGGGAAGAAACAGATAACATTCAAAGGAAAACCAATCAGGCTGACATCAGACTTCTCTGAAGAAACACTACGGGCAAGGAGAGAGTGGAGGGACATAGTCAACAGACTCCAAGAAAACAGATGCCAACCAAGAATACTCTATCCCGCAAAGCTCTCTTTCCTCCATGAAGAAAGAATATGGACCTTCCCAGACAAAGAGAAACTCCGGAATTTCATTGCGACTAAACCCCCACTCCAAAAAATACTACAAGGAATCCTAAAGCCAGAACCTCAGAGGGACGAATAACAACAAAAGAAGGCCAAAGAAAGTTATTAAAAGAATAAATAAATAAAATCAAAGGAAAGACAAACATAATGGCAAATACAGATGCTAACATATCAATATTAACTCTAAATGTAA